CCTTGCCTCCAAGTTTTCTAGTGGCTTTATCCAGTCACCCGTTGCTCCCGTGGAAGGAGGCCTGGATTTTGCCCTTTGTAGCGTCTTCCCTCCTGCTGCACGTCTCTACTTCTCCACAGCAGTTCCTTGCTTTTTTTTTTTTCAGATAAATCCCTTGCTTTCAAATCCTTGCTCAGGATCTGTATCTGGGGGAATTCTACAAAGCCAAATGTTACATTTATCCAGTGTCTCCATCTTATTTTCTGCAAAAGGATCCTCTGGGCACCCAGCACATTTCATTCCAGACCAGAGTAGGATGGTTTGTTCCACCAAACACAGATTCCTAGAAATGGATCTTTGTTCAGTTTGGCCTCCCCAGCATGTCCCCTCCTCTGTCACCCAGCATGGAAGTTACATGTTTTCTGACTAAGGAATCTATATGTGCAGGTAGGAGTGGAGAAGCAAGTTTCAAGGGTCCAGTGCTATGCCATTAACTCCATGGATTAGCAATTGGCCACATGTGCCAATTTATATGTTAAGTGCAAAGTTATTTAAACTGAATGATGTTTTTCACTTCAGTTCCTAAGTCACAAAATCCACGTTTCAATTGCTTCATAGCTACGCATGGATCCTGGTGGCTATATTAGACAATGCAGATAGAGAGCATTCCTGTCACTGCAGAGAGTTCTGTTGAACAGAGCTGGGCAGGAGCAAAGTGAAGTCATGATGTCAGCATGTACAATTAGTTTTATTTGGGTCTCAAAGCACCTTAAAGCTTCCAGGAAAAAGAGAAATATAAGCAACACCTGCACCCAGTCCTTGTAGTCACCTAACGGCAGACAACAATTTACAACGCAGAAAGAACCAGGGTCACATTCTTCTGATTTTAAATAACTTTTATTTATATGTTGGCTAAAGCATGAGAGAGAGAGAGAGAGAGAGAGAGAGAGAGAGAGAGAGAGAGAGGAGAGAAACTTCAAAATCTCCTACCAAAATTGAGATTCATACTGCACACTCTGATGTTCTGAAGTTTACACCCCATATTACAGTGTGGAGCATTTGGACAAGCATGATGGGACAAACAGTAGTGTTGTGCCTTACTAGTTTGGGAATGGATGGAGTAGATGTCAGAGAGCCTGGACACCCCTTCTCCAAGCTTTTGACTAGGAAGTAAGCAAGCGCTCTGGGCTTACCAAGGAAGTTTCTTTCATTTGAGTTGAAATTGGGCATTGGCAATCCTCTATTGGCATAGCTTTGCACTTTGGAGGACCAGAACAGTATCTGGTGAAGTGAGACCTTACCTTCCTGAGGCAGCGTCCAAGGTGTGTAATTTCATTTCCTTGAGACTTGACCGAGAATATAGTGGGCATTCAGCAAATGAATGCAAGAGCCAACGACACCCTCAATGCCCCTTAGTGAACAATGGGGAGGTGCCTGGTCCCACAGCCCATGGAGGTGACACTGTGGGATTATCCACCCTTTCGTTTTATAATCTATCTTACAGAACTTAAGCTTCCAGATCCTTCTCTACTCTCATTGTTCAGCAAGGTCAGAGTCTACTTGAGCTCCAGGGAGCTTGGAGATGATCGCCCCCAACTTCACCATTATATAGCAGAGGACATTAGGACTAAAAGAAGTAAAATAACATGTTCCAGATCAAAGAGTTAATTCCCAGCAGGAAGCTTCTAATGTCCTTTGGGATGCTGGGATGGATACATGGATACTGTTCATCCTAACATCTGAACAGCAGCCTGAACTTCTATCTTGTACTGCAATTCTAAAACTTTATTTAGCTTTTAATAAGGAACATGTTCCCATGACTCAAGTCCAAAATATATAAACAGCCAACTGGCTTTTCCTGTTCTTCAGCCACCTGTGTCCCTCCTAAAGACAATCACTGGTTTCCTGTGTCTCTTGGAGGAGACAACCTATGCATCTAAATATGAGGAAATGTATGTGTTATACTTTCCCAAAACATACTGACAGCATGTCAACATGAGTAGTACCCTGCCAAGGGTTGTGTTTTGGCAAGTTGGCTCTAGTAGGAGGTCCTGTAGCCATGCAATGTGGTTCCAAAAGGGATTGGGGGAGGGATGGCCAGCTTTTTGGCTCATAGTATAAGATTTTTGGTTCAATATTTGTTCCCTGCTCTTATCAGAGGCCCAAAGTTTGGAGCTTCTGGGTCTTGGTCTGGTCAGTGAACACATTTTCTTTATAAATTAATTCCCTCAGGTATTTCACAACAGTAATGCAAAGCTAGCTGATACACTGATGTTCAGCCATGGATCTCTCTTAGTGCTTTGACTCTTCCTTCATGCTGTCTCTTGGTCAAATTCTCCTGTGGGTGGTTCTCACACCGGCCATCACACACAAACCCTCCCCTGCCTCCACATCCACATTTGGCTTGCCTCTTAACTTACCTCCCTGGGCAGTTCTGAGGCTTCTGGTCCATGCTCTATGTATTGCCACATTAATCTTCTTAATACACAAGGGTGATTATTTTATTATCCTGCAACAAACCTTTCAATATCCCTGGCCTTCCTAACAAAGTATGAGGTTCTTTACTTGAACTCCGAGGTCCATCCTGACCTGTCCATCCCATACTGCGTCCATGTAGGAATGTGCCACTCGCTTCCCACTACACTGCTCATCCTCTCAGCTTACAGACACTTCCTTAAGTTTTTCCAAATTCTGCCTGTTCTTCAATGACGTTATTGGATGGTCCTTCCATGAAATCTTTCTTGACTCAGGTTCCAGGCAGAAATGCTCTTTCTCTTCATGGCCCGGGCATACACAGAGCATCCACCTATTTTCACTGTATTCATTTGTTCCCGTTTTGTCCCTGCTAGACTGGGGTCTTATAGAGAAAAGGTTCATGTCTGTCTTGCACATCTTTGCATCCCTCACCTAACCCCAGGCAGTGTTTCTGCATCCTACCCCACACACTTCACAAGCAGACTGGATGAACAGCTGGCAGGCTAATGTCACAATCTCCCATGTTGTCTCTAAAGAGTTCCAAGTTATTGTTTTAACGTTCCTTAGGGGACTTATAAATAAATGTCTATTTTCCCCCAGATAGGGTACCAATGACAGATCAAGATAAAGATTCCACCAAAGTTCAACTTGGCAAATCAATGAGTTTCTTTAGCTGACTTGCAGAGGATGGGCCAGGGGTTGCTTACAAAAATGTGTGACCCTCAAACAGCTGCACCACCCAAAGTCCCACTCTGTCGTGGACAGTAACCTCATGGTAGCTGCATCATGGAATCTCATTTTCATTTAATCTTTCACTTCCTACATACTTTAACATTTCCCAAGTTCCCTTGTCATTGGGTTAGTAATAGGTAGAATCCCCAGAAGGGTCCTGAAATATCTCTCTCTCCTCCTCCTCCTCCTCCTCTTCCTCCTCCCCCCCTCCTCCTCCTCCCTCTTCCTCCTCCCTCCTC